CGTCTTTCGAGACCTTCTTTCGATGCTGAGCCTGGATCAATAATAGCGGCAAGCGATGCTGCTGCGCCGGCAGACGATTGAAGATTGCCCAAGGCCGAGTCTCCCATGCACACCGAGTTGGCCCCCAATGCGGATCCCTGCACAAAGGCTGGGGGAAGGCATGTTCCGGATGTCGGATACGGCCCCGGATGCGACTCTGCGTCCAGCGTCTTTTCTGTCGAGGGCCAGGAAGGGAGTTTATTCTCGGGAAAAGCATCATTGGGCTGGTATCAACAGCGCGCCATCTGCACCAGTCCCGATAGAGCCTGCCAGTCTTCACCGAGAGCATAATCGAAACACACCGGCAGCTGAGCAGTCCATTCCAGTCCCTGGGCAACAAATCCAGCTTTGATGGTCGAAATGGCGTCAGAAAACTAAGAAGCAAACATTGCTCCTACCTCTGGTGCAGTCATCCTGCGAGCTGTCAGGGGGAATACTTGCCATGATTCCGACGCAGACCCCGGCAAAACCTTCCTGCGCCTCGCAGACTATCGATCGAAATGTGAAGCTACCCGTGAGAAGTCGTGATGCGATATGAAAACTGATAAACCGAGATGAGTCTATCGGCTTTCATGCAGGTCGGGCCTTTGAGACCGCATCCGGACGTGCCTCCACGGTGAGCAGCACACCGTCGAGCGCAGATCCCCAGAGCGCGCGATCTGGTTGCCCATTCACCGAGTGTGACATGGTGGTGTCTGTGTCACGTCGGCCTAAAACGCCTCTTCACCGAGGCGCCCGGCAGTGAAATGGCAAACGGCGGGGGTTCAATCGTTTCAGGGCGGAGGGACATGTCATGTGTCATCTCAAGCTGGAGGGATGACCCCCGATAAGGCCATCAATGACGTGCGCTATGATGGAAACTGGTAGACGGAGCCTAAAAATGTTAAAATGGACTTCAACCTACGATATCTGCGTCAGTGTTATTTCCAGCTGACAGCCTGCGGAGATCCCTGATGGCCGCGGTCGCACCAACCGAATGCCTCGAAGCGCGGGATGCGTGGAGATGCCACAAATTCTGTCGGGTCGCACGCGGAGAATACGGCGCGAGCCCGCACCTGTACCACCGGCTTTCTTACCTTTGATGAAGCAAACAAACGCCATCAGATAAGGGGCAGGGGTAATCATGGACATCTCTCGGCCCCGGCTTCTCTCGGCCAGCATCGCTGTCGCTCCAACGCTCAACGCTCAATGGTGTGGTATCCTGACATGGCACATGAGAGGCTCCCATGACGTCGATAAATGGAGGCATGGCCTCAACATTCAACATGGACAATAATATTGTCGAGGACAGAATGCGATTTTGCCCCTGGCCTCAGATGAGCAGACTAGCTGCCAATGAGGGGTCCACCCACTCCCCGCGGATGACAGCCTGCAGCAACCGGATCCTACCAACCATCTTATCTCACCGCTCGGCGGCGCTCGGCGCTCGCCCACATTACCGGATAGAGCCTTGGTGGCGACGGCTCCATGGCCTCAAAGACCCAAGGGTGGCCTCCTCCCGAGGCACCGGGCAGGCCCGTCCCTTTTGTGTTGGCGCCTCAGTCAAGCCGTCCAGGGTCAATGGGAAATACCCTGGCACAGATCTTTGCTTTTTTTTCACTGAGAAAAATCGACCCGGTCACCCGTCAAGTGCCCCGTTGGCAGCCGGGGAGTAGTTCCGGAAAGCTTAATGGAATGCAAGTCGCAAATGATAGGCGGGGATGCTCTCCGCGGGTTCGTGGCCAAGCACGTGGAGGCCTGTCGGCGCAGGGGGAGTTCGAGTGCAAGTGTGTCGCATTTGCCCAATTGGTGATGGGCGCGTGTCTATAGCAAAGCGAGAAACAGCTGTTCCAACCGCCCAACCACGGACTCTACCGGTCACGAAGCCACATTGCCGGTGAGCTGGAGGCCCCGTCTTATTTGCCTGCGTGGGCTCCGGAATCTCGAACATGCTTCCCCATGGAAGTTCTCGAACGATATTGCAGTTGCGTGTCGTTGCCTCGGCCCGCGACCAATGGGAAGGTTGCCGGCATCTTCCCTCGAGGCCATGCCTGTTGCTGATCTCTGAGGCTGCACCTCCTTACTTGACTTGAGGCCATGGCACTTTCGTGCGACTACTCTCCGCCCGATTTGGGAATGCCGGCCGAGATTGCTTTCGAGGACACGATGATGGTCTTGGTGTTTGGGGGAAAGCTGCCCACATAAGTATTGCTGTCGCCCAGATGCTCTCATCTCTGGGCTTCCTCCGTTTTCTTCCAACGCGCAGACAATTGCGGTCTTGCCTCTCATCCTGCTCTATCGTGTCAGCGTCCTTCACGTTGCGGTGTTCTGCCTTCCACTCCACGTACAGAGTCTCGCCTGCTCCAGCATGCCGACGTCTCAGGCCTCGGGGGCTTCTCATGGCTCGTCGAACAAGAGGTAAGTCCCCTTCGTCCTGATGAAGCATTACCGACAGATGGCTGATACTGCTTTCAGGTCCAAGACGGCTCGTGCAAAGGAATCCAAGTCCCGGGTAGACGACTACCTCGCGGAAGAGGGCAGCCTCTACGAGCGGATCTCCAATGATAGCAAGGCCAAAGACAGGACGAAGGCGTACAAAGATCGTGCTCGGGAGACAACCCGTGACGCCGATCGCCGTCTTGGTCCAAGATAAATCTGGTTGGTGATGAACGTCATGACGATGAGCAGATGCTCGAGTCGGTCGTGGCCCATGGATATGGAGGTAGAGCAATGGTCGTTACAGCGAGGAGTTTAGCTGCGTTTGGGGATCAGCGATTGACTTGGAAGAAATGTCCGCGAGGATTGAAGGAAGTCACGGCTTTCTAGTAACATGCAGTTGCACGTACATGCGGCAAGAGCAGTATGGGGCCTGCGTTCTTGGCACAGACTGCACTTGCAGCAGCAGTATATGTCCTACGTGGCTGCCGCATATTGACCGCATGAAGCAAGGGAGGTTTTTGATAGCGTTCTTTCATCGAATCGAAGTGTTTGGAGGTTTTGTTAGTGTTGGATTGATGTTTGTTGAAAGTATCCTCAACCGACCGATGTGACGGAAGCTCTGAACGGAGTGGCTCACTCGACTGAGATGCGGCGCAGAGATCCAGTGGCTTCCAGCTTGCAGTTGCCGGTAGGTCAATACATATGACCTCTCTACTAAGCGCATCGATACGGCAGGAAATGTGGTCCTCTTCGTGCGGCTTTCCTGTGTAGCTGGGCGTCTTGCGGCGCTGCCGTGGTGGTGCCCCGTCCGATCAAGGTACTGTCGTCTCTCTCCCTGTGAAAGACACTCTCAACTCCGTATCTAGGGGTGCATCAACTCATCTCGATGACCGGGATGAGGACGTCGGTGCCAAGGTGCAACACACCTTGATTGAGGAGAGGCCCTAGAAGAGGAGAGTTCCCGTGCAAACGGCGACTCCGCAGACCAGCAGTCAAAATAAGAATTGCACCGTCTCAATCCTCTCGAAACTCTCACCAAACTGTATTCAACCTAGTGTAGGTAGTCAAACCAGCCCGTCATCCGATCACCGCATGCGCCGGAATCGGGAAGCTCAACGTCTGTGCGGTGCCACGGGCACACCCGCCAACGAACGTCCACAGAGACTAAAAAGGTCAGCCAAGAAAACGCATGCCCGACGTTACTTCTGTGCCGCGATATCGTCCCATGTTGGCACAAAACACAAAAGATGGACACAGTACACAAGAGATGCGGTCTTTAGCCGTCGTGTGAATCATCCTCCGGGGTCTTGTGCTTCGGTTGCGGCGTTCCGAGAACATGGGTGAGACGGATGAATTCAGAATCCCTGCTGGAGACGATTGGGCTGGAATCAACTGCGACCCATCGCGGCCAGTCAAAGACGAAGGAATAATACATGGGCGCATGAACGGCTCAGCAAACTCCGCCATTCTTTGGCTCAATCTCATGTCTTTCAACCACACAAAAACATTCTTCCGGCCACAATCGGGCCTTGATCGGTCCCAGCCCTACCAGGCATGTCCCGATTCCCCAGGATCCACCCGATGACGCTATCCAGGGGCCTCCTGTGGGACAGCTGGGGCCGCCTACGTTACAGAGCATATTAATCCCCGAACTCTTCGCACCATTCCGAGTCCATCGTTGGTCTGCCATGGTGGGGGTCCAAGACAAGGGGGGAGGGGACCTGGAGGTAGCTCAAGACCGACCATGGTCTGGCCTCGTCCCCGGGTCTGGTAGATTTCTCCGGTCAGCCACAGCCTGGACCGACCACGAAAAAGGAAGACAAGGGGGGAAAGAAAACTTTTGCGGCGGGCATGCTCAGTGGATTACCTGGGGCCGCGCGTGCGCGATACTTTGTCCCGCGTTTACGAAGACCAATCACCCGGGATGCCTCTTGGCAGCTGTCAAGACGCGCGTGCAGGCTGTCGTGGACCTGCGTCACCCTCGCCAAGCGGCTTGGTCGCCTCGAAGCGCGAAGTGACGTTGCGTATCCTTGTGGATATACGAAGTGCTGAAGAAGGGAACCGGCCGACGAGGTGACGAAGCCGTGGGAGGCGGCCGGTCACTTGAGCTGCCGAGGATCCAGGACTTTTCCTGGGGGTTTGAAGAAGTACTGGTGGTGCTAGGGTCCTAGGTTGGAGAAGACGGGGGTTGCGATGGTTGGGCGCACATCCCCCTTGCACAGATCTAGTACATCGCTCGGCAGTCTCGGGTGGTCACCGCAGCGATCGCACAGCAAGTAACCGTCAGTGACATCGATTGTTTTGTTGATCGTGCAGGCCCAGCTGCACGAGCTATGGAGAAATCATACAGGCTCTTCCATAAATCATCATCCCTCGCACATTACTCGCTCCGCTTCAAATGCGTTGGCCGTCTTGGTAATCGAAGAAGTGGCTGGTGGAAGGTAAATGTCGAAAGGTATTAGGGGTTGGCAAAGGTATTGATTGTACATGGTCGGTGGCGCACCGGTGAGGCATTAGGGCCGACAGGGTGTGGTGGTTCGGGCCTATTTGGCTTGGGGGGGCTTTTGGACGGGCTTGTCTTCGGCTGGTCTGTTGGATTCGAGGCGTGTGTACTGGTTGTCGTTATCATTCATGAACATATCGAAGCGAGCCTGCCGAGAGGCCGCTTGATCATTCGAGGTCGCTTGGTTGTTCGGCGCCTGTCCAGACGCAGCACCGGTCCTGTTCCGTGTCAGTTACCATGCAAGCAAGACAAGACCGGGATACCAAAGTCACTTACTGACTGCCGGATTCAACAACCATTGAAGAAGTCTGAGACGACATGACTGCTAAACTTGGGTATCTTGAAAGTACGATGAAGGGAGTTGGCAAGGTAGTCCAATGACGGGATGCAAGACCAGCTTGTGTACTTAAACAATATTGACACGACGGGGATTAAGGGTGCAGCAAAACAAGAGAAGGGGAATCGACTTTGATGAAAAAAGGGCGAGAGGTGAGGGTATCGTTCAGCAGTCCGTGGCGACCGCCGTCTGATTTAAATAGCATAGAGATGGAAGAACCAGATGAAGAGAATCGAAGGGGGAAAAAAAAAGGGCGAACCATTTTGGACGCCTTGGACCATGATGTGCGGTGAAGGAAGAACGGGTGGGCGTGGGAGCAAGGTTGGGCGTGGGAATGGGACGAACATCGTCAACGCAAGGTACCTCTCTAATCGTCCGCGAGGGTTGACAGGAAGGTAGATGCCGGCTGACAGGTATCAAGCGGTCGCCAGCGTTGAAAATGATAACCCAAGATTAGAAAAAAACTGTATTTTCCTTGATGCGTCGGAAGCTCGGCCTCATGATTGTCTCCTGTGCCTCTGATTTGATCATGGCGGTATGCACTCATTTCGCGTGCAGCAAAACCGGCGGAGCAAAATAATACATGGCCGAAAGACAGGAACAGAAACACAAAACGGGGCGATTAGTTGGGCGGCGAAAGTTTCATCAGATGCATGGAAATGCAAGGCACACACACCCTTTTCCCGCCATTTTGCACCTCGGTCATGACAAGATGGAAATAGGGTGGTGGTGTGGGGAGCTCTCTGGACGGGCGTTCAGCTGGCTTCTGGGCCGTCAGCGAGTGAGCTGGCAGGCCAAGGTGAGGTACATCAGGAACCAAATACGTAAGACATGCTCAGCGAAGAGGCTCTGACTGCCACAAGACTTGGAGAAAATTTTTCAACTCGACACTGTTGCACGAATTTCCCCAGATCTTCTCCTCTGCGGGCGTCGAGATGCACTAAGCCCCGAGAGGAGAAGGGCAAGCCGCGCGGGGTACATGAAGACTGAAAAATTTGCTGCACTTTCGTTTCTGCTTGTCTCGAGAATCTGGTCTGGATCTGCAGAGGAGCTGGACAGCTGGAAAACGCGGCAGTATGTTTCCATCCGTTCGGTTCCACGACACTTGCGCTTCGTTAGCGGGACGGAGCGTCAGCCAGGTCGGTCGGCCAATGTCGCTGCTGTATTCCAGTGGAATGCGTCTGAAGACATAACATGCGGCGAACGGCCTGAAACGACTTCGAGAACACCAGAGGCGGTTTCTGAATCGAAGCCACTTGTTTCCAAACCCAAGCTACCGATGTCGTGCGTCGGAGGGGCACCTCATAGGCCAATTGGGCCAATCTTGGCAATGTCCTCATAGGGCGATAGACAGGTGCAATTGGCGAATGCACCGATCGGTGAGCGGAACAGAATGTGAGCCTAAGGAACTCGCAGATCAACGGCGGTGATGATGACAAGATCACGACGGACGTGGCTTGACGTCTGGGAATACGAGGTTTGAGCTACCCAGGACATCAGCAAGGCAGACTTGAAACGGCGGTGGTGCTTTGCTTGGGGAACCCGGGACATCAGCAAGAACCCAGCCAGTCCTTGGTTCCAGCTGCTGGCCGTAGGGCTGTCGGACAGGTTCCAGGTTGCGGCAACTTAAGCTCCCGCTGCCGCTCCCGCTGCCGCCTCCGACTGATGCTCCACGCCGGCGGACAACACGGTGCAACGCTCTCAAACGGCCCCGTTGATGCTTCTGGCCGGCGGCGGAGCCAAGAGATAAGGTTATCGCCGCAGGCGACTGACAAAAAACTTGCTCAGTTCTGCAACAGTCCGGAAGTACCGTCGCTCGCCAATACAAACCGGTCCACAAAAGCTCCAATTTTTCTCCTCTCAGCTTACTATTGGTGTTCTTCAATTGGCGTCGATTCGCAAGAGCCCCGCATCGCTTGTACCGACCGGTGAATTGTATTTTATTGCAAGCGGGATAAACAGCGAGCAAAATAAACCAGATGCCATCCGGGTGCGCAATTGCAAGCAGGACCCTTAAAGAGAAGTCGTTCCCGTCTGGCCCTTCGGTGCCGTTCAGCCGTTCTTACGTGAAGCGCATAATTGTTTGTTTGTTCCCGCGAGCTTTGTTTCGTTTTTTATAGGCGGCAAGATGGAGACCGAATCGTCCAAATGGACCTACCAGGTCAAAGGTGATTGACCTGCTGCGCTTCGTGTTTGTAATCTAACATGCGGTAGTAATGGTTCTTGGGGAGGACGCAAAGTCCAAAGAGGAGAGACGACTGGTGCGGAAACTGGGTAATGGTTCCTCCCTCTTCTGATGTTTTGCATATGCTGACAAGGACCGGGTTTCGTGACTTGCAGACCTTTTTGTGTTGGTATGTCTCCACATTGGCGATGGCGTCAACCACGACGGAGCTGACCAAAGCTAGACGTACTGCTGTTTCAGCTACTTCGTCAACTACCTTGGTAAGGAGAACATTGCCATTCCTTTGGTTCAGTTAGCTTATGGATGACCAGATCGTGCTGCCTTTGCCAATGCATACGTACGTATTGTCTTGCTGGTGAACGGGAGATTTACTCACCATCATCAGGTCGCCGGTTTGAAAGAAGATATCGGACTTCATGGGTCACAGTACAATGTCTTGCTGTCAATGATGACTGCTGGGTTCGTGATACCATCCAAGATGCTGCCACCATGGTGCTGACGTGCCGTCAGATATGTCCTTGCCCAAATTCCACACGGTATCGCCATCCAAAAGATCGCGCCCCGCATTTGGCTCCCGTCAATGGTTCTGCTTTGGGCTGGTTTGACCATGTGCACTGCGGCCTGCAAGACGTATGAGCAGATGTGTGTTGTGCGCTTCTTCCAGGGTATGGCAGAGGCAAGCACATACTGCGGGACAATGTACATCATGGGGTCGTGGTAGTGAGTGTCTCCACCTAAACTGCATGGATGGGGCCTTATGCTAAATGGACAAAATATAGCAAGCCGTTGGAGATTGCAAAGCGAACTGCTATCTTCACCGCTGTTGGCCAGGCAGGCAGCATGTTTGCCGGCGTCATGATGACTGCCGTGCACAAGAGCATGAACGGATACGGAGGGCTGCCAGGATGGAAATGGGTGTTCCTTATCGGTAAGTCGGGCGCGATCCCGGGCGATGTCTGTCGTCCATTAGCCAGGCTCGGTACTAAATGGGTGGCAGACGGCATCATTACTCTGCCGGTTGCTGCTGCAGGCTTCGTCTGTTTCCCGGACATCCCCGAGCAGACAAAGGCACACCTCTTCAGCCTCAAAGAAGACGATATCAAGCTGGCCATCAAGCGCCTGCCGCCCAAGAGGGAGGATGCGCATAACGTCTCGCCCTTGTCGCTGGCCAAGCGTATTCTCGGCAAACCATACTTGTGCGCCACCATCCTTCCTTGCTCGCTTGCGCCTCTGCTGACAAGACCAGTTACGTGCTCGGAGTATTTTCGATTGTTACTGGCGCGCTCGAGGCATTTTGCGTGCAATCGCTTTTCCTTCTTTGGATGAAGTTCCACAGCGACCGCTACACAAGCTCCCAGGTTACAACGTACCCGCTGGGCATACAGGCGGTCGCCATCGTGTCCAACATCGGTGCCGCCATCTACATGGATTCAACGGGTCACCGGCTGCCCATCGGGTTCTTGGCGTGCGGGCTACAGTTGATCTCTGCGGTACTAATCCTCATCCCCACGATTCCGGACGCGGCAACCTTTTTCGCGTACTACCTGGCGGGCACGAGCTATATGGTCAACCCGTTGTTGTTCGGCTGGGCCAACATCATCCTGAAGAGGAGCGGCGACGAGGCGGCCCGAAGCGTGTTGCTGTACTGGCTGAACGCCATCCAGAGCACTTTGTACACTTTCTGGGGCATTGCGCTGTACCCTGCGAACGAGGCGCCGTACTGGCGGAAGGGCGGAATCACCATGTGTGTGGTTGTCGTTTTGATGGCCGGCCTGATGTGGGCGATGAAGTGGCTGGACAGGAAGTCGCTTTCCGAGCAGCTTGTCGAGGATGGGGACAGCGCGGCGGAGGTGAGCAGGTCCTCGGATGCCGGGAGTCAGAAATGAGGCAGCCTGGACGGCGATCAACACAATGTCAAGAGGTGACGGGGGAGGGGTGGGGTGGAGGCGTATACCAGACGGAAGAATGCAAGTAGCGTGAAGAGTCGGTCGGTTGAGAGAGGAGGGAAAAAATATGCATTGGAGACACTGGTAATTTTCGGGAAGGATCGTGAGGGTGTGCGACTTGAGGATGGTCGGTGGCGTTTCCTGTCGAAGACAGTGATAGCCAGGAGACCTGGAGTCGGGAGTAGGCGGTGAAGCATAGAACCGGATTGTTCGGGCAATCATCAGGCAATTTCTTCCTCTTCAAACTGACAGAAGCGACGGGAGATGATGAAGAGCGTGAATTGCGAGCAGGCTGAGATGATGGATGAGCATGAACGGTCGGAGGTGTACTGGCAGATCCCTGTCGGACCTCCTCGTTTGGTGGCTTCCGTCCCCTGGAAGGAACGATCCTGGAGCAGGGCAGGGGAGCCTGCTACTGAATCCACCTAGATTGGCGGGCCCTGCTAGCGGTGTCCACTCCGCCGTCTGTGCTTCCGTCACCAACCCAACCAGGTAAGGTACCTTGCCAGGCAGGCGGGGGAAGCCAGGCCTTCCTTCCTTCTTCCACATCTGCCTTCACCCGCGGGGGCTTCCATCGTCACCGGCGACCGCTCCAGCCAAGAGGAACGGCAACACGAGAAGACGGTACGGTACGGTCTGGGTCGGAGACGGCAAAGACTCGAGCACTTGCGCAGTCCTTGTGCTCGGCATTACCCCGTTGGCACACCCTGGCCAGCCTAACCCCTGCCCTGACCGGTCTGTTGGGGCAGGTCGTCACCATGTTGTGTACCGAAGCTAAAGCACTCCACGCCCGATACATGAATGTTTGCTTGTCAATATCGACCACGTCGCTTCGCTTCGTTCGAGCTCCATCGACGAAACAGTTCATCCCAAGTGTGATGCAAATGCATCTTTCTGGCATTGCATCGGCAAGAGAAGCCGAGATCTCGACCAGACGGACATGTCCGACGGTCAACAACGCACTCTTGGAGATGCTTTCGATACAGAAGGCGGTCAATAACTTCTCATTTCAGGCAAATGAGGCTGTCACCGGGTGGCGTAAGCCGTTATCTCGTAACTTGAAACGCGCCACGGGTCAGGCACCCTCGAACTACAAGTCTTTCACGGTTTGGAACTGTGCTCACCGCCAGACTGGTAAGATACGAGCCTGTCACAAGCTGTCTATGCCTGCCCATGTGCTTAAAGTATCTCTTTCAGAGGCCCCTGTCGCGGATCAACACATATTGGGATTGCATCTTTGCACGCCTCCCGCACACTAATACATCTCCACGACCCGATGATTAACCCCTGGCCTCAAAATTCTTTTCACTCCTCAGCTGTCAGTTTTTCCTTCTCCGAAAAAAAGAAAACGCAGAGTGTCTTTTGAGACGCGAGCATTTCACGGTCACACACATCTGCAGATCGCGGAGGAGACAGGGCACGAAGGTCTGCACGATCAGGAGCGTTATCTGCGAGCACCGATAGGCAAGGCTCGCAGGCTTCAGTTTCTTAACCTGCCGCAGTCTCCTACACAGGAAGGAAATCACAGTCGCTGACACCAACCTATCATATCATGCGACCACTGCACCATGCCGAGGGGTGGATGTGTTATCATTAGCACTCTGAGCTGCCCCGCGTGAGAGGCACAGTTTCCCCACTTGCTCTTCCTAAACCAGTCTCCTGCGTTCACCTTTCTTTTTTTGCCTCTTCAAGGTTGCTGATTCTTCAGACCGCCTCTTCAGCGGATTTTGGCATGCAAGATCACGCCGGCGGTGACGCCTCTCCGTCCTGGCGAAGCCGATGAGGCATGGTTAGACGCCAACCTAACTGGGAATGCTGCCTTACAGAGCAACCTACCCGGCGCAGGAGCTTGCCCTCATGTACAGGATTGGATTTCGATGTACATGTATGATGATGCTGCTACTGATCGACTGCTGTACACCGCTCAAGGGGATGTCACGCACCATTTCCGAGGGCCTCGTTTGGGGCCACCGCTGCCGCGAGCTCTTGGGATAATGATCGCCTCGCCTTCGGATGTGATCCGAGGTGAAGGGCTCCTCGGTCAGCCTGCTGTTGCTCCATAGACCTCTGGGCTGTTCACGCCGTGTTGTCTAACGCAACCGGGCCTTCTTGAAGGCCGTGTCTGCTAGCGATGTCGCTGCTAACCCCACCGTTGGTTCTGAATGTCTGGCCGGGTGATTGTCGGGAACACCGGAATCAACACAGTGAACCAGAGATGTAGAGTTTCGATGATATTGAGAATTTTCGAGGGCCGGTCAGCGACTGACCTGGTTGGTTCCTGTTCTGCAGCGTTCAACTCAGCCCATGATCGTTTCGCAATTGGATAGCTCAAAAGTATCAAGCTGGCGTGGGTTGCAATTCAGAACAAAGATGTCTGGGATAGGACTGTGTAGAGTCCCTACGCGCTGCCATTGTCATCCATCTGCAACCTTAACAAACAATGCCTTCTTCGGTCACTGTCCATTTTGTTCAAAATTTGACAGACTATCCTAAAACAACGTTTTTCAGACGTTTCCATTGTTCAGAACTGTCGCAAGTCGCCAAGTCGATACATAAGATATCACGACCACTTGTCCATCATCTTCGCGACTATTCGAGACTGAAACAGCAATACTATCATACCCACAACTTCTACCACACCGCAGATAAATTAACCAACACGAGAATACAACCGCCAAGATGCCTCCTCATCAGTACAGACACCAGTTCAACGACACATATCCTGCAGCACCGGTCAAGGACTACCCGGACTGCACCGCTCTGGACAGCGACCTCCTCGTCGGGGTCGTCATCCCTCCCTTCTTTGCCATGGGCTTCCTCGTATCCCTGGTGATAACTCTTTGGAACCGCTGGAAATACATCACTCGAACCAAGAAGTTGGAGGAAGAGAATCGCCGCCTCAGGGTCAAGAACCAACTGAACGAGTATTGGCACGGTCCCGTTTCCGACGATCTTGTCGATGCCGAGCTGAAGAATCCCGGCAGCCACACTGGCGGGGCCAAGCGACCTGAAAGTAGGAGCGATCACGTTCGCGATGTCGATCGGGATGCTGGTACCCAGTCCAGGCTTGCCACGTACGATGACGCGGGCTTCTATGTGTCTGGTGGCCGAGACGGACCTGACCAAGAGGAGTCTGAGGAGTCCCGCGAGCGTTCTCGCGACCTGAGCACCATAGCCGAGGAAACAGAGGTGTCTGCTGATGCGGTGCTTAGGAGCATACCTGATGAACCAGACCACCGCTTCGCAATCGGAAGCGATTCTGATGAGGAAGAATGGGAAAGAGCTGAACCAAACTACATGGCAGGCGGCGGAGAATCCTCGATTCCTTTGGAACCATTGGCGCGAGGTGGATCCTCCAGGCAGGACGACTCCTTTAGACAAGGCGAATCTTCCCGCCAGGTCGCATCTTCCAACAAATACGACTTTAACAGCCAAGTCGGGTCTTCTCCAAGCTCAGTCGATTCTTCTCCTGGCCGTGACAGGTTTTCTCCCAGCCCAATCGAGTCTCCTACCCAAGCCCAGTTTCCTAGACAGGACGCATCTTCCAGGCTAGGTGAGTCCTCTACACAAGACGGGCGCTACCGACGAGGCTGATCTGTCCCAGAAGGCGGGTCCTTGCCGCAACAGGGTGAGTATTCGGCACCGGGCGAAGGCCGAGGGGAGTCCTCGAGTGAGCCAAAACCACGAGAGAGGTGGAAGCCCATAGCGAAACCAACGGGTCCCTACAAATCCAGATTTATTGAGCACTTGGACGACGTTGCTATTCCCGTAGACACTATGCTTCTCGATGACATTCTCTTTCCCGACCCCTTGATTAGTGACGTCAAGCAACAAGCTCCATATCACACTCGAGAGCAGAATGAGCATCGCTCCCGTAGGAATTAGGTATTCCTTCAGACATGGATTTACAGGAAGCTTCGAGCATGTGGAGACGCGCGATGAGTTTCCGGCACGGGTGACTTGGGTTGCGAATCACAGATGTTGGTAAGTGAGGCAGGCTTGAATACGCAGAGAAATCAATCAGAAATGCTTACAGAAATTCTTTCTATTTATTCCGCCATCATCATGTAATTTTCTTCATTCGCTAGTAATTCGAGACCACTTCGTTTATATCTTGTGAAGAGTATGCGATGATGTGCTGTCCCATCGCGTCGATCTGCTAATATGACAAACAGAATGATAGAATATGATGCATCATTCCACTATTTGGAGCGGCGCTTTTTGCTCTGTTCTTCAGTCACTCAACTATCAAGCCCTTAGCTGTTACACCGCGGGACGTCCTATCCAGCTTCACACGATGTCGTAAGTCTCAGACTGCCTGGACTTCGAAATACAATAAAGCCAGCGTATATGGAAAAGTAAAGACAACGTATCTTCCCACACTAAACGACATGCAAGGTCTTTGATCAGATTGTGTGGTACCAGTGTCACCACGGAACCAAGGCTTCGCCATCTTACTGCTCAGGCTGGCAAAGGTTGAGAGTTGGAAAGATGGATGTGGGTATCCCATGCCTAAAAGGAGTAAGAACAATGAACAAAGACAAGAGATCTTGACAACCACCAATAAGATCGATCTTGAGACCCAGTCCAAAGACTTGAAAGCTGTCAGCGCAGTGTTTACTGAACAAAGCTTTGTCAAGGGAAGACTTGTTCGATGTTAACGAACAAGGCTCTTGTCTGAATAACATCCTCAATGTCGCTCATCTAATTGACACCTATATATCCTTGCCTTCCATTTGTCTCCGGAAATATTCTAATCATCACACCGCACCAGTCAACTCTCATCTCAGAGGCAAGTCTTCTTCCCCCCTTTCCACCACTGACTTCCCATCAGAAACATACGGTGTAATACTGCAGTCAGCGCCTCGCCCTATTCGCGCCCCACAACGAAAACTTTCGTATGCCCTTAATCTCTCTGTCTTCTCAAAGGTGAGCCTTCC